TTGGCTTCAAAATGACTCTATTTTCAATTAACCACTAAAAATTTCTTTCATGTTGGAATGAAGTTACATGCTGGCTTTTCTAGTTCCTGACTCAAGACTCCTTGAGCACGACCACCATTAGTAATCACTGAAGACAAATCCCATTGTGACCTGGTTGACATCAGCATGAAAATCACATCATTAATGTCACCATATCCCATTCCAAGACAAACATTAAATTAAGGCACATTTAATATAACTAAATTGCATTCAAAGAGTTACTACTGAACCAAACACAAAATATGTTCCTAGGACAAACAAATATTACTTTCAAATAACCATGACTAAGCTTAGGGTTTGAGCTCTCTCTCTCTCTCCCCTCTCCCTGCCTGTATGTCTCTTAATACTAAAACGTTAATCTCTACCTCTTTTGGTGAATAATTTTTACAAACCATGGGTTTCAGAATTGTGTGTGTTTCATGCACGTCAGTGTAGGCTTTGTATCTCAAAAGCAAATGTTGGGTCAGTTTCAGGTAAATATTTCCTAAAATTTCTTTGAAAAATATTTTGTTTCTTGGTATAGGGGAAAAATGTATTAACTGGTATTTCTCCTTTCAGATTTCTGGAATTTTACTCTGTCTAAGGATAAGAAGGAGCCACCTTTAATTGCACAGAGGAAATACTTTGAGATTCCTCGTATTTTGGAAAGAAGTACAAAATGCAAATGACATCAGGAAAAAAAAATAGATCTGGGCTCAAACCACACTCGTTTATTACTCCGAGATGAGGCATCATCATTCCTTATATAATTTGTTTGTTTGAATACAGAAAAATGTTTAAATTCTTGTGGCGTATCTTTCCTTTTTATATTGAGATAACTGTAGATTCATATGAGGTTGTAAGAAATAATGCACAGGGAGTCTCTTCCACTCTTTACTCCGTTTCCCTCAATGGCAACGTCTTGCAAAACTATAGAGCAAGGTCACAGCTGGGAAATTAACACTGATACAATCTCCAGACCTTATGCAGATTTCACCAGTTTTAAGGGTGTGTGTGTGTTTCGTTCTATACAATGTTACACACTTGTAGACTCAGGTGACCCTGCGGAGTATCTTTTTAAACAGCTTCTGATGTTAGTATTCTATCTTGTCCATATCTCTTAGTCTCCTTCTCCTTTATGGCTGCTTCTTGGCCTCCATAACTTATTCACCTTTTCTTTGAGTTTTATTGCCTCGCTCGGGAACTGTTTGCTGGTGGAGACTCTGTATTTGGTCTATTTCTTGCAGCACATTTATCCTTTCCCAGGAAAAGACACAAACATAAACAGACATTCCAGCACGCATTCACAGCGTTTTTAAAGACACCAGTGAGAATAGATTAATATAAATACTAAGCTTAAAAACTGTCATAAAAGTTCAGCCTTTGAAATTGGCTTATTAAAATATTTGTTTTCTTTTAAGCCCAGATTTAAACTGATGTTATGAGTTATAGTGCTCTGCTCCAAAAGAGTTTACTTTGTGGTCTTTTTTTGCCAGGCAAGAGGAATCTGACATCTGTGCCGTCCGTCCAGGATAGATTGAAACAAGGATGATGGAAACTCAATTCTTACAGGCTCAAGACTTGTCTGAAAATAGTACCTTTTTTTTTTTTTTCCCAGAAAACCTCAATCAAGTACTATATTTCAAATGACCTCAAACAGCCACTCTCAAAGTCCCATCCCTCCACCCCCCATGCTGGCCAGATGCTGTAGCAAGACTTCTTCGTTCAAGGTTGAAAGAATAACACAGACACTTATAGAACAATATACCCACATCACAGAGGTCAGCTCCCTCTATTGGATCTTATTGACAGGTATTTTATAACAAAACAATACTTGTGTTCTAGGTAGCTCAGGCTTTCATTCCACTTCTTCGGATCCATCAAAACCTGTCCTGGGGATTCTGCATGTACGTTCCCCATGGGGAATTCATTTGCTTTGGAGACCCGCTAGCATTCCAAATGGAGCAGTTAACAAACACCTCCAAGAAATCAATGTTCAGGAGGGAGAAACAGGCTTACACACTTTTTAGGAGGTGAAAGGGTCATACTCTGTTCTCCAAAGTTCCAAACTAAAAATTCTCAGGGAAAAAAAAAGTCGTTTGTTGACTACAGTAACCTACTGAAAATCTGTGCCTATGGCAGGAGTCAGGGAAGACGTTTTCTTTAATGACAAAGTGGAAAATAGGAAAAATGTCTGATAATCATCACCTTCCTCCAAGCCAGGTGCCCCTGACCCTATTACTAAAGCTTCAACATTTAACGACAATACTAAAAACTTCTTTTGAGATTCTCCCAATGAGATGAACCTAGCTGACTGTCCAACGATGCCTGATCTATTGTATATTTTTATGCTTAAATACGGGACTAAGGAAGAAAGTGAGGATAAATATTACCACCAGCCGAACACCATTTCCTGCGATTCTCTTTGTACCAAGGGACAATTCAGGTTCTTTGTGGTTATTGCTATTCATCAGGACACAGCTTTTTTTCATATATGTGAAAACATCTCGTATACTGAGAACATTAAAATCACACACAACTTACTGAAAGTTCTAGAATTCTTTGCTGGTACCTATAACTAACACTTCTTAAAAATATTACAAATAACAAATGTCATTTAGCAACATTTTCAGGAAATCAAACCAATCATGATTGTACTTACATTCACAGACAGTAATGTGATAAAAACAAACAAGCAAAAACACAAAAAAACAAAAAAATAAATAGTTTGCCCAATGTACAAAGTAAAAACAAGTAAAACCAAGGTGTGTCCAGAATTATTGGTGTTATCAAAAATGTCCCCATTTCTCTCCTCGTCTTGCAGAGAGTGGGTATCTTTCTACCTAAAGAAACTGGCTTCCTGAAATTAATCAGTTATATTCAAATATATTAAAAAATAAAAATAAATAGGCACCCATATAGACCATATTTTTCCTCCAGCTGAATGTGCTGTGTTATGTTTTAAGGATTTTTCCAAAAAAACTCTCAACACTTACAATAAATAAAGTGTCACTTTTTATTTTTATATAATCTTTATTTGTGATCTAGGTCTGATTCTCTAAGTTTGAGGAATGCAATGATTTTAAAATGAATTTTAAATGATCCTACTAAATTTTGCATTAAGGTCATATCTCCTAGTATTTGTTTTCAGTAATTTTCTGGAGGGAAGTCTTAACGATAATTCTGTTGACATTTTCCTTAAACAAAGCTATACATGTATGTTTTACAAAGATGACATCTCTCATTTGTTTATCCTTCCTTCAGATGTGCTGTAAACTATCCATGGTATAAAGGGTAAATGGAATTAACTAATGGAAGCTCATAATTTAGGCAGCAAAACCCAGAATTAATGTATTATCCCCCTGTAGCATTTTACTACTCAGCCAATCCAAACTTTCTTTCTTAGAGAAATACGTGATTGTGATACTTTCCATCTGTTTTTGACAAAGATAGGAGAAGATTCCCAAAAGTTATTTCTGCTAAAAAAATCTTTCTTAAAAAAAACGATCATTATCTTAAGGGAGGGGGCAATTTCATCAAAAGAATTTTCAGAGACACAGAAATAAAAGCTTAACAAAGAAAATTCACCTGTGCCAGATCAGCCTTTTGTGACCACAGCAAAAACATCTGTAGATATTAGAGAACCATACATTTTTTAAAAAGAAATAGATATGTTTGGGAGAACGGGTGGGGGCACGCTCTGGATTAATCTAAATTCCTTCTGTGTGAAGTAGAGACTTATAAAAACACTGCAAGATGAGCAGGAAACTAAAGCACACTAAGTAGTAAGGATCTTTACCACCCCCTCGGCCGGCAACATATCTTGCCCCTTCTCATTGCCCTAGAGAGCCCTCCGAAGGAAGATGCCCACCAGCCTCGAAGAGCCTTCTGGAAGGGAAGGCGCCTCGGGAGTTAGATTTCCTCTAAACGGAGTTCCAAGGTGTCTGGTCAAAGGGTGCTGGTGCAGGGCGCCCTGAGCGCTCTTCCAGAGCAAACCAGAGTTTCCAAATGCTCTCAGCAGCTGTGTCCCCTTCGCCTTCTCCAGTGCAGGGCCTGGCCCGCACTCCCTCCCGGTCCCGCAAACCTGTTTCCCAGCCTGGACCCCTCGCGCTCTCCTGCGGGTGCCGGGCGCTGGGACGCGGCGCGGACAGACCCCCACTCCCAGACCCTCCAGGTTCAAGGCTGGAACCAGAGGCTCCCAGCTCCGAGATCCGCCCACCTGCCTGCGGGCCGAGGGTTTCCGAACCTGGGGGTGCGCTCCCGGCCTAGGCGCTCTGGTCTCCGCGACTCAGCCCGGGCCCTGTCTCCCGCGCTCCCAGCGCAGGGCGTACCAAGGCTCTCCCGCTGCAGTGGCCCCGGAGCCACCAACGCAGGGCCGTGTCCTCCCGCTCTCCCCAAGGCAAACCTGGCCGCCGGCCCGCTCTCTTGTGCCCACCGGGCCCACCAGGGCGCGGACCGCTCGGCTTTCGAAGCGCCGGCCCGGGAGGCCCTGCTGGAGCCGTCCGCGAAAGATGAGTGTCCGCACCATGAACGCGCTTCCCGGGAAGAGGGCAAAGCCGCAGCCGGGCACAACCTGGCTCCGGCAGCCTCGTGGGCGGCCTCGATTCCGGAGGGCGTCGAGGGCAGTGGCTTTCCACCTCTCTGCCCGTGCGGGCTGCCGGCCGTTCTTCCGATGCCCACTCTCCCGACACTCACCCGCAGGCGCCAGCGGTAGCAGCAGCAAGGGTAGCAAGTACCGCTGTCACCGGTGCTCCCCCTCCCCCCCAGCTCCCGGACTGACACCCAGCAGGGAAGCTTGCAAAAGGACCCAAGGGTGTCCCTGGGACGCGGGAGCTTCCCAACAGACCCCCTTCTGTTGCTGCGAGGAAAACCGCACCCCAACCACGCCGCCCCGGCCCACAGGGCCTCCACTAGGAGGGATGCGCGGGCCGGGCCGCCTGCCCCCCGCTGCGGAGGGCGCGGGTCGCGCACGCAGCACCTACCCTGGCGCGCGGGTCCGGACGTGGGTGGCGCGGCGCTAGTGGGAGGCGGACATGGACCACGCGCCCTCCATGCGCCACACGGAGAAGGCGTAGCTGAGGCGCTCGTGGGCCACGTAGCTGCAGCTGGTCATCTTATTGTCCATCTCGTCGCTCTGCAGGACCTGGTAGAGGAAGTCTATGTACCTGGCGGCCAGCTTGAGCGTCTGGATCTTGCTGAGCTTGTCCGAGGGCAGCGTGGGGATGATCTTGCGCAGCGCGGCGAAGGCCTCGTTGAGCGACTGGGTGCGCTGGCGCTCGCGCACGTTGGCCAGGATGCGCTGGCTCTGCAGCTCCTCGAAGGACTGCGCGCTCGGGCTGCCCTTCTTGCCGCGCTTGCCTGGGGTCGGGCTGCCATCTTCGCTCGACTTCTTGCTGTAGCGCCGCTTCCGGCCAAAGCGCTTGGGCTGCCTCTCGAGCTCCTCCTCGCTGGTGCCCAGGCTGTCCACGGGGGACACGGGCGAGCTGGAGCCCTCCTCCATGGCGCCCGCCCGGCGCGCTTGGGGCTGGGGGCGCCGGGCGCCGAGCGCGCGCCGCTGCCCAAGCCCGCGGTCGCCGAGCACACGCTCTCCGAGTTGCTCGAGAGGCTCTGATTTCAAGGCCGGCTTGTGCAAAACCGAGGTCTCCGGGAGAGGAAGTTATTCTAACTTTTTTGGAAACTCTAGCCGGGCTGGGTTGCTAAATAGTTGTCAGGAGCGAGGGCGGCGCGCTGATTGGCCGCGGCGGCCGGGGGCTGGACGAGTTTTGGGGCCTTCGCCCGCCGCCCCCGCCCCCCGGCGCGGCACTTTCAGTTTTGCCTCCCCTTTCGGTCCCGGCCACGGCGGGCACCCCGGAGGCCCGGCCCTGGCGTGCCGCCGGAGCCCCCAGCCGGCATCCGACAGCTCTCCGGCCGCCCGGCGCCCTGGGCATTACCGACCTGCTTTGTCTGCTCCTTAACGTGGAGGTCGGGCCCCGCCAGGCTGCGTGATCTCCCCCGGGCGCGAAGAGCGCGAGGGGCGCGGGAGCCGAGTCCTACCCTAGATGCGCTCCCAGGAGGTGAGGACGAGGCGGGGAGCCCCGGGGGCTGCTCCGGCCTCTGCGCTCCTTGGCTGTCCCCCGGGAGCGACGCGAGTCCTCGCTGCTCCCGCACACTCAGTCTGGGGTGGGAGACGCGCGCGGGCAGGGGTCCCGGCAACCGGACCACAGGCGTGCGGATACTTGAGTGCCCTCCGAGACGCCTTTGCCCACGCACGTGGCGCAGGGATCAGTGCACATGCACCGGCTCTGCCCAGGCTTCGTGTTGGGTGGCCTTTCTCACCCCAGCTTTCTGGGGATCCCGGCACCAACGCCCTTTGCAGACCTTGCTTCTAAGTGCTTTCAAACTTGAAAGCCACAGCGAGCCTCTGCGGGAGCGCCGGTGCCCACTGCGCCCACCTGCTTGGCCCTGCCTGGGATGCCGGGTACAGGGCGGGGGCGACCGCCAGGCCCCCGGTGCAGGGCCCCAGCCTCTGCGCTCCTCCTCTGCTTCGCCAGTCACCAGTGGCCCGGAGGGCAGTCTGGGGAGCAGCACAGCCTCCCCTGCGCTGGGCGCCTGAAGGCAGGAGGGCGCGGGGCGGCGGGAGCCGGGCGACACCGCGGACCCCGGCTCCGCGCCATCTGGACGCCGAGCGCGGGCGCGTTTGAAGTGGTTGGGGGGGGGGCTCTTTGTTCGCCAGGCCGCTCTGGCTCTGGGCCTGGAGGTGGTTTACGGCTTTGATGCCTTTGAACCTATTCCCAGGTGACCCGGGCTCAATTAGGCCGGGGCCTGAGCCCGGCTGTCAGGCAAGCCGCGTGATCAAGGGCGGGTGGGTCCTTTTATTGAAGTTGAACTCGGGGCCCGCGGAGCGCTCGGCCTCCGCTGCTCCTCGGCCGCCAGGCCGGCCGCGACCACCGCGTTAGGAACCCCGCGGGCGGTGGTGAGCGGCCAGGGCTGCTCAAGGGGGACATTGCCCCAGCAGCGAGTGGAGCAGATGTCTGGGAAGAACAGGCCCTGACACGGAGGTAGCCACGTAACAACGCTGTTTGCAGTTTCTAACCCACCCGCGGGCTTCACGATCCTGTGACTAAAGGGTCCTGCCGAGTCACCGCGCCCAGCCCCACCCCGCCCAACCGCCCCTTCCCCTGCTCTGAGAAGGATCGGGGTTTATCCCGCTCCCTACAGCTTTCTCCAAACTTCGAAAATAAATGTAAGGAAGGATAGAGACCCCGGCCTGGGTCGCAGCCTTTCCTGGGCTTCCTGCGTCGGAAGGGCCTGCTCCCTTCCAGACTGGGCCTGGAAGCCGCGTCTGGCTCACCGCAGGACAGCAGCGATTTGCTGCTCTTTTACCAACTCTGTGTGTGCTTTAGCGTGGGGAGTCCGAAGACCCGGACCCCGTTTTGGCCCAGCTTAAATGAGTGCAGTCAGGGAGCGACTCCCTCCTGGAAGCTGGAGGGGAGGTGCCCCCGCTGCCTGAGGGCCTGCTGCACCCCCCCCCACACCCACCCCAGCTCTGTCTCTCCTACTGATGATGGACAGCAGAACACTTTCTGGAAGTCAGATCTAAAAACCCATCATTTGCCTAAATTACAGCACTAACACAGGCAGGGTAAAGGCATACAGACAAAAGGCTGGAATCCAATGTTTGAGCTACACATCTCATACATGCAAGAGTCTCCTTTAAAAAACGCCCTTAAAATTTTCCCCCTGAAAAATTGCTCAGGAGGGCATATGACAAGCCTTCATGGTAACCGTTCTACCATTGCACACCTAATATTTGCAAAAAAGTTCCTCTCTGTGCATGGGTGGGTGGGTGCCCACACTCCTTTCCATCTTTCTTCTATTCCTTCTGGAACTGTAAAGCCAGGATGACCTTTCTCGGACTGTGGCAGCCCTGGTCTGTAAGACCGCTCTCAGGGGCTGCGTAGGGAAAGGGGACATCCACTCTGCCCTGTCCTCTAGTCCGGGGCTGGGGGATGTGTTTGGTTTGTCTGGGCAGCACAGTGCGTGGTCCCTGGATGTCTGTAGAGTTAGGGCAGGAGTACCAGTTTTGCAAGCAGGCACGGCAGCAGCTTCTTGATTCCAGGATGCTTCTGGAACCACTGTGTTCCTGGTGCAGCGAGCAAGGCAGGAGTTCGATGGCTGCCGTTCGTTCTGGAAATGAGCTCTGCCTGGAGCCTGTTTTCTCAGCTCTAGGCAATTTTATCCTGTTGTCTAATAAGTTGCTTCCTGAGTGCAGTGACCAGTGAGGGCCGTTCTCTACAAAGGAACCCCACTTGAGAACCCACCTCTGGACTGGGGTCCAGAAGGTACACACTAGGGCTCTCCCCGGGGAGTGCCTCTTCTTGACATCACTAACGCCATTTCCTTGCAATGTGGACGAGCACTGGCCTTTGACACACTTCGATGCCTTTAAGATCACATCGAAGTTGCTCTTGCAACAAACTCATATTACGATGCTTTTTAACTTGGAATATGTACCAAATTTCAGTTAAAACAACAGTGGGAAGAACTATCGTGGCATAAATATGGTGGGAGAGAGAGAACAGGGTGTAGGGGTCTGGGACACAAGCCAGGCTCTTCTGCATAAACTTTGTTTTATAGATTTGACTTTGGAATCATACAAATGTTTTCCATAGCTATTTAAAAATTAAATTAAAAAAAAAACCCTAAAAGTCAAAAGCGGAATGGGACAATGTGCCTAATTTTGTATCATTTCCGTGGCCTGCCCAGCACACAGGAATCACCAGAGAGAGCCATAAACACTGTAATTGGACTCTGCATACTGGGAAGGCAAAGGGAACTGAAAAAAAAAAAAATTTAGAGGTTTTCAACATTCATGTTTCTAGTAACAATGTTGCTGTTGTCATTCTGAAACTGTGAGCTAAGGCCAGTCAGTTATTATGTCTCTGTCTTCAAGAATCAAGATTTCCAGCCCCAAAGAAAAGAGATACAAATACGAAAGAAAAGAAATTAGGCAGGACGGGGTCATTCTAAATTTGTTGGAAATATCAATCTAAACTTGTGATGTGTTTTCTCTCAAGCAGTGTTATTTCCTGGCCCTGGCCCCTGGAAAGATCTAGAAATGTTGATGGATGCAGTGGCAAGGAGAACCACCAGGGTTCAGATTGTGTTCTCTCCTGGAAGGAATGGCCGACTTCAGGTCCGGGGAAAACATGTACATGAGAAGCCTGGAGCGTCTTCCTGGGTCAGAAAGCAAGAAAACAGCCAGCAGCCTGGTGAGTCATAGCCTGACTCTAGAATGTTCTAAAAGATGCCTCCATGGGCCAGAGAGGGTGCCAGGTAAGCATCAACCAGAACAAAACTACAATGGATGGGAACACATCAGATGGTAAAAATCCGTGAGTTTCTAATGTTAATTGAATAAACACTTCCTGGTCGTCTTAGGCTACTGATGGGAAATTGAGTCTTGATTCTGAAAATTGGTAAGTAAAGGGAAAGAGTCAAGCACAGAACCAGTCTTTCTTACCAAATATACTTCAAAGTAACAGAAGAGTTGAGGAAATGTCCTGTTCCCCAGATGGACTCCAGATAGTAAACGAGGGCGGACTGGTGGGATTACGTCACCATTCTGCAGACCTCATCCGTGCTAACTAACATGAGAGATTCCAGCCACATCACCGGCCGCTGGGCTTGGCAGCCAGTCCCAGGAAATCCAGCACATAGTACTCGGACAAGTTAAATGGCGCCATGCGGGTGCAATCAAGTCCGGCTCTTCTGTTCTCAGAACCCCCAAAGAGCTCATTTCATTTTTGTAAAAGCCTCTCTTGACCATGTTCTGGAAGGCTGTCCAGGCTGGCAATCAGAATGCCCTGTCACTGATCTGACCCCCTGTCCTGGGGCTTGGGCTCACTCTCCCCACCATCCCCGCATCACTCGGGCTGCTCCCCCTACGGTGCAGGGACTCATGCAGGAGCCTACCTGAAACTGCCCTGGGACAGCCACAGGGTTGACCTTCTCGAAGGCTGCACATTGGTCTCATTTCTGTTGTTCCCTAACGGCTCACAGTCTTAGCAATGTACAACACCTCCCGTTTCGTCTTCTCCCAATCAAGCAGGCTGACGATTGTACGGTGTTGGGCTGGGTGGGTTTCTGTCACTCCTCCCTTCCAGCTCTAGCCTAAGACGGTCTCAGTAACAGATCTGTTAGGGAGGCTCTCAGGGAGCATGCCTCAGCCCTCCTCCATGTGACTTCTCCATCCAGCAGGCTCCTTCTTGCTGTGGACTCAGATCTCTGACCACAGTGCTCTCAAGCCTTTGCCTGGAGGGAATTTGCTGATCTCCCCTGAGCTAATGCAAATCACACAGCCAAGCCCAGATTCAAGAGTTTGACATTAAAGAGTTGATTGGCAGCTCTGGGTGTGCAGAGATATGTGTGTGTGTGTGTGTGTGTGCATACCAGTATTATGGATGTGTGTGTGTGTGTGTGTGTGTACACATATGTGCATGTAGGTAAGATCTGTGTAGTTGTGTGTATGTGTGTGCATGTGTGCGTGTACGCTGGTGAGGGGACCTGTTGTCGCTTGTAGACTTACTTTAGGATGATCACTTGGGGCCCCGGTCATATTTGGGGGGACCCCCACTTTTTGCCAGTGTTTTCTTTGTGACTGGCCCTATCTCCA